TCAAATCACACCATATGCTGAACGATCCGTGTATTGCTTTTCATGTCTGAACCAAGTCGTGTAAGTTTCTCAAGATTGGTCAAAGAGTCCAGAGCCGCGGCGACATCTCCTTTCTGAAATAGGAAACGCATTAAACAACTCTTTTCAGAAAGTCCATTATAAGCTGAATGAGACATTTCTAATACCTACCGCAGCGATCGCATTCGCCTTGGGAATAGCTTCGTCGACCTGGCTTGTATAGTCGACATCCATTTTGAACAGACGACCATCGCCGACCTGAATATAGCGATTCTTTCTTCACTTCGGCCCGCTGACAAGAAAACCATTATCCCTGATTCAACTCTTCACTTATCTTGAGAAACTCTGCCTTAATTTCAAAAATTGTAGCGAACAAAAGCATGCTGAACAAGAAATGATCAGAATACTACGTTCAAAATCACCAAATGAATTCGAATGCCGATCACAAACAATGTTCACAAAAAAACTGCACGCGCGGCAAACTCAGCATAGCAAAAGCAGTTACGAGAGAGGATACCGTGAAAGTAGTGATATTATCAAAGACATTAGCCAAGTAGAGAAATCGGTGGTGAAGAGTGAAGTTTACAAAAGTATTAAGGGAATTGAAGATCAGCGACCATGGGGTCAAAACAGTTTTAAGACGACATACCTGAGCTGCCATATGCGCCATAAGCTCTTGATCGGTCCGTGGACCAGCCTTAATCGGCTCTATCAGCACATCCTTTTGGTCACCCATCCTAAACATATGATTAACTGACATAAGATAACATAAACCTCGTCGTAAAAACAAGAGCAACGACAAGATTCGCAGCGGTCCAGCCACAGAAATACCCAAAGATTCTAAATGGTTGAGCGAACGAACAAAGTGTGGCTCTTAGATGTCGGGCAGACTATGCGCATTGCATCGCGATGCGAGAGCGACGCGGATCGCCACTAAGGCGCGTTTGCATCGCGATGACAAGCGATGGGACGATTGCATGCGCGACGGACCAGTGCCGAGCACGCGATCGCTCATCGCTTGTCATCGCGATGCAATCGCAGAGTTTGACCGATATCTTACCTAAGCGGCGCTTACAACGTCGCCTAGGCTGGTACCGAACTCGGCGAGCATTGCGCGATTAGCTGGCTACTTTCGTGATTCGTTCCAGGCCGAACACTTCGAGAGATTCCTGTAGTGCCCTGAAGAGGCTGGGAAGACTCTCTGTTCGATATTCGTTCGCTAGCCGATTAGAATTGCTGAGGTATACATACTCACGAAAGAAATTGCGCAGATGCTTGAAGACCAGCCCAAACAAACCAGTTGGTCAAGAAAGGGTTAAAGAAGAGCAGTGCTTCAAATGTAAAAACGACAGCGTTTAATGTTTCAACTGAAAGCTTGATATAGGCACGTAAACCAAATATTACGCCACCATATTAAGGGAAAGAGCCAACCAACACACGTCGTTCAACAGACTAGACGGCTTTACATAAAACATATGATAGCATAGATGTTGATCGCTTGGCCTAAATAGTAGCTAGAGAAACTGGTCCACCCTGTACGACACCCCCCCCCCCTACGACACTCGCCAAAGCGCGGCGAACAATCAGCTGATTGACGGTCCAATCAACTAGCACTAATATGCCCTAGCAAAGGATCTGTCATGAACTTAAGAGTTGTATGCGGAAAATTAGACCTTCCTCCATGAAAATATTGCCGGTTCCAAAGCCAGGGTTAGCCTCAGAAGGATTATTGCGCAAGTTCATTTTTCGTTCGCAGTTCAGATTGGAACACAAGCAAAGAGGGGAAAGTGTTTGAGCGCATACTGTATCAACCAACACCAGCGACAAAACGTGGTTTATTGCTTCACAAAACTCGGTGGGCAGCTATTCAACGAGATCAACCTCATAATTTCCATCCAAAGATTTCATTAGCCGACGTTGTGCCGGATACAAAGTTACCCAGTGAACTGAACTAACCCCGGGTCTATTCCAGTTAGGGGCATCATGATGCAGCTTCTCGGCGAACTAGTGTGAACTTGAACATTCCAGCTTTCACGCATGTCAAGTGACTGCCCTCACCACACCCCCCCCCACCCCCAAAGATTGGGTAAACTCCCCTGGCACGGAGTTACTTTAGCTTTCGGGAAGAACTGCATCATGATGCCTCCTAACTGGAATAGACCCCTGACCCCTCTACTGGCCGAGATTTTTCTTCTCAATAGACTGAAATGAGGAAGGTAACCACAATTAGCATTGTGCAACAAAGACTACAAATAATTCGTAAAGAAGAGCGCAACTTCGTCGGAGGAGATAAAACTTCAAAAAATCAAAGGATGAACAGCACGACCACGAAGCTTCCCCTCCTCGTCTTATCCTCTTCTATGCTCGTCCATGATTAAAGATAAATGAGCAGAATGAAGTAAACAAAAAGGAAAAATGCTGAGAACTAAACTCTGAAACCATCGGCTCCTTCATTAAAGGTTCGAGATGACTAAAAATTACTGTAGGTGCAACCTTTAATCTTAGATGCGACAATCTCGTCCACTCTATCGCGCGCGACGCTTCAGTACCGTTGTTGCGACAGCTCTACATCGGTCGCGACATCGCCTGGACGAGCACACCGAGGGATTGCGAAAACGCGGGATTCGTTCCCTCATTTAAATTTCAACATCGTCTTTTTCCTTTTTGTTAAGGATGTTCTGACCGTGTTCAAGTCATTCAAGTGTGTTTAATGTACATGAGTTCTGTTACCTACCTCGGCTTGTCAATAGTTTGGTGGACTTTTCGTATAGCATTCTTATAATGTTGGTTAGAAGCTCCCCCACTTTCTTCACGATTTGGGGCGCGGCCGCGGCGAGCGCGGACGAGTCGATAGTGCCCGCGAACTGTGGTGGTGATGCGTTTTCAAATTTACCCACACAGTTCGCGGGCACTATCGACTCGGCCGCGCTCGCCGCGGCCGCGCCCCAAATCGTGAAGAAAGTGGGGGAGCCGTAAAGTATGTTTGAATCATTCTGTTAGCTTGGACGTCCAATCTCTTGGATTTGCAGACTCATGGCTTCGCGCGTCAACATTTGTTCAGTGAATATCCTTGGACAATCCGTCCACGTTCACTGCTCAGTTCAAACTCGAAATCACATTCGAAGTCTTCGAATATCTCCCTCATGGTAAGCGCTGTACAAGTTCTTTTTGCTGACATCGAAATTGGTTTATGATTTGTTTTGCTTGTTGATCCAGAATCACGAAAATCTGTTTCGGTTCCAGCTGCAACAAAGCGTTTGTTTTCAATTCGGACCTCTTGTGAAATACCAAAGTATAGCGTTTAAAAGTTTTTTTAATAAATAGAATTTTCGACGAAACTCGGGTTCGGGGATGGGCACGCGGCGCGGCGCTGTTTTCGTCCGCTCTACCAAGACTTAGTCACCAATGGCACGTATTTTGAAATTGCCGCATAATGGTGAAAGCGTAAGTGTCCCTGTGGACTAAGACCGACGTACACGGCGGACGCATAGTCGCCTGTCGGAGACAGCAACGACTGCAAGTGTCGCCCCACAGCACCCCCCCCCCCCCCCCCCCCCCCCCCGCCCCCCCCACTGGGTGCGTATCGATCTGCGACAGCAGCGGTCGGACGACAGCAACGACCGCAGGTGTCGCAGATCGATACGCACCCAATGCTGTGCGACACTTGCAGTCGTTGCTGTCGTCCGACCGACTATGCGTCCGGCCACAGAGGGCGCACGCATAGTCGGTCGTCCGACAGCAACGATCGCAACTGTCTGACTGTCTAACTGCATCTAATCGTCGAATACTCAGGCAAGTCCGACGATCGATACGCATCCAATGCTGTGCGACAGTTACGATCGTTGCTGTCGTCCGACCGACTATGCGTGCGCCCAGCGGCGACTGGGCAAGCGATGGAGCGATCGCGATCGCTCCATCGCTTGTCCGTCGCCGACTATGACGTCGGTCTTAGGCTTGGAGGAGCAGACGAAAAGAGCGCCGCGCCATCGCGTGTCACCCCCTTCCCCCGAACCCGAGTTTCGCCGAGTTTGATGCCCATATTTGAGGACCTTGCTTATGTGTTATTCTGTCAGGAATTGGAGGTGTGATCAAATCTTGCAGATATTCGGGACGGCTGAGGTCTCTTTTGTTGTGGAAGAAGTTTACTTCTTAAGAGCGTTGGTAGAGTGGAGAGTTGGTTCGGTTGTTTATACGTGTTAGCTCGGCGAAGTCAGGTTCGCTAGTGAGTCAGGTGCGTCGATTTCTTGCAGCTTGTTGGTCCGATTTGTCCGAAGGCAGGCACAAATTGTTTCGCGTAAGTGAAAACTATATGTAGCTGCTCTCCATTTACAAGTGCTACTGCAATTTTTTAGGTGGACGCCCCTGATCCATCGAAAATTCCAGTTCAAGATCTCGTTGGTGTTACTGTTCTCCTGCTGCGTTGCAAGTACAATGGACAGGTGCGTTTCAACCTTATCATTTGCAAACACTTTTTCGTACTCTAGTGTATTGCAGGAATTCATTAACTTGGATGGTTGTCTCACAATGGATATTAGGATCCGGAGTTGGAAGGAGAATCCTCCAGCGAAACCGCTGATCGAGAAGGTAAGTCGAAAGATTTGGTTCGAACTAGTGTGTTCATTTTTTCATCTTTTCTTTGATGTGGTTGTTTGTTGGCACAATTTTTATGGTGGAGCGTATTTCAGTTAACAAGGACAGTTCAAATAGATGATCTGCGAGTTACATCATTCCCGATAAAGTGGGATGAGAATCAGCCCGATGAATATCCACCAGAGCCCGAACAGGGAGAAATTGATGAGGCGGATCTTATTCCAGTAGAGGATCCTGTTGATGATGAAGAAAAACTGGAAGATGAGGTTTGCATATCAAACTCAGTAGGCTACTCTAACTAATAAATACTTCAAAGAATTGTACTCTTGCAAATAGTGATACCTATTCTGTAAGATGATTCCTTCAGGAGGAAGCTGACGTTAATGGCGGAGAGGAGGTGGATCTGGAAGAGAGCATGGAAAACGACGAAGTGCAAGATGAAGAAAATGAAGAGGTGCAGAATGGCGATGTCGAAGATAACGAAGTGGACAAAAAGAACGGTGAAGATGATTCTGCCGATGTCCCTGGTTTGATCTATTGATTTTCTGCTACTTTGTCTTTTCTCCATTTAATTTTTCATTTCCAGGCGATGTGGAAATGACAGATGGTTCGGGGGAGACATCAGGAAACACTTCAGCCACTGAAAACGTTGCTGAGAATGGAGCAGTTCCAAAGGAAGACAAAGCCGATCTCAAAGAAGCCGGTGACGCACCGTTCTCCGATGTCACAAATGAGTCACAAGTTGCGCAGTGAAACATCTAACATAGTAACCTTGAAGTAATATTTGTGTGTGATTCCGGTCGTAAGTTAGATGGGCTTTCTTTTGAATTGATACAAAATGTTCTTCACTTAATATAACCGTCCAACAATTCTTCTTTTTCATTGTACCTCGATTTGTAATCATTTTGAGAACACATTGTCTAATATATACAGATATGCCGGCCACAAGAGCAGGTGCGAATGCGAGCATGGCACCGAGGGGTCTCGTTCAGGCAGCGATTTTTTTTGCAAGAATGGAATTCCTTAAACGCCTTATTTTCTGATAGGCAAGTCGGCAATATAAGGGATCGCCTCTGCGCCAGTGCACGTTCGCGTCTGTTTCTCTTCACCTACGTGTAATATGGCTGGTATGGGAGTTGACGCGTGAAATATACAAATAATTGGCAGTGCTATTTATATTGATCTTTCTTTGTGAATCACCTGCCATTTTACCATCTCACCACAATTGGTATTTACGTTTCTTGCACTCGTTTACATGCTCTGATTTTTTTACCTTATCTACGTTCTTTACAATTTTAGGAGTGTCAAAAAGTGCTCTGAAAAATGAGAACTCAAAAAAACTCAGCAATTAGCAATTCAAAAAAGGAAAACAAGAAAACAACCCAGTAGGACCCCAGAAGACAAATTTACCTGTAGTGTCTGCAAACATCCAAGTACTTCGAGTCTTGAAGTCCAATAGTAATCATCAAATTATAGAAGCGAATTTTCAAATCTTGAACCTAGAAA